GCAGGGTGCAGCGTGCGCTGTCTCGTGGACGCGCTCCCACCAACCCACGCGAAGGGCGGACCCTCCAGCGAGACAATGACCACGTCTTCTCTCGGGTCTGCAACAACGTGGGGGCGTGGCTAGGGCGGAACCTGTCAGTGACGGGCGTCGGGCTCCACCAGTGAGTGCACAGGATGCAGATTGTGCTGGACACGCCTCCCCCGGGAAGGAAAACGGAGAGGAGGGGTGGGAGGTAAACGGTCCAGCATGGGTCCTGGCGTTTAGCTGACTTCAGTAACTTAGCAAGTCTACTCATGGGGGAGTTGGAGGACACACCTGATTAACGCCCTGGACCCAGAGTCGGGGTTGAAAATTCATTCCTTCATTTAGTAAATAATTGCCGAAGGCCCACCGTCGGGCCAGTTTGAGTCTAATGCCCCCCAAGGAGCGCAGTAGCCATTTAGACCAGTGCTGCTTCCTCTCCGCGATGCAAGACCTGCTTCTAATCCATTAGGCATAGATCTCACTAAATGAGGGTAAAGATCAATTCCTCATAAATGACGTGACAAAACATATATACAAATGCAAGTTCATTTTTTAAAATATGGAATTCGACATAGTCACATTTCAACAAACAACAGGAGCAAACATAAGAGAGAACATACTTTAAGAAACTACACTTTGCTCAGAGAAAATTTGCCCATCAGCGTTCACGACAGACAATGGCTGTTACACTGGTAACTGGTTGTCCTATTGTAACTAAAACACGGGTGTGAGTGATATTTCTATTCTGCACAGTAAGTGCCTGTAAGCACATTTTGAATAAATACAATGTGTATAAATATGTAAAGCTGTCAATGTTACAAGTGAGATTGTTCCTTCATTGGTCATTTATCTGACCTAGGCTGGAGTGATAAAAGCATTACTTGCAGAGGAAAACTTATGTCTAAACTATTTCTAAGTTCTAAGCTATGGAGAAAAGTTTAATAAGAATTTATTGGAGCCCTGGCCGGTATGGCTCAGTGGATAGAGCATAGGCCTGTGGACCAAAGGGTCCCGGGTTCAATTCCAATCAAGGACAGGCACTGCCCTGGCCCGGGCCCTGGTCGGGGCTGTGTGCAGGAGGCAACCAATCGATGTGTTGCTCTCACATGGATGTTTCTCTGTCTTTCCCTCTCTCTCTCTCTCTTTCTCTAAAAAAGAAAAAAAAAAGAGTTTAGTGGAGCCAAGTTTTTGAGGACACACCCAGAAGTAAGATCTCAGGAGACTGAGAAAATGCTCCAGAGAATGACAGCTCTGCATTGTGAATCAGAAGGGAAAACGTAAAGAAGACACATGACGTCCATTGGCGGTAGGTTAAGGAGGCGGGAGAAAACCAAGTGGGGAAATCTTCAGGATTGGATCACAGGTGGAGAAACGCGTATTTCTTTCCCATGGGTGGTAAGGATAATGAATAGTTAACATTACAGTCCACAGAGGTGGCATGATGAGGGGAACAAGGTAACAGTGAGGGGTTCTGTGGTCTCGTGCTCTGGTGGTCCTGTGCCCTGGTGCCCGTGGCTGTGCCTTCGAGGAGTCTGGAAAAGAAAAGTACTTGGACATTTCAAACGTGTGTTTTCTTAGATGCAGGAGAATAATGGACAGGGAGCCCTGGCCAAGTGGCTCAGCGGATTAGAGCTTTGTCCTGATAGGCCAGGGTTGGGGGTGCAATCCCTGGTCAGGCCACCTAGGACAATCCACCAATGAATGTGTAAGTGGAACAACAAATCACATTTCTCTCTCTCCTTCCCTCTCTCTCTCTAAAATCAACAAATTAAACACACACACACACACACACACACACACACACACACTGCAGTGATTTTTTTTCCTTTTTTTTAATGTTTTTATTGAGTTCAGAGAGGAAGCAAGAGGGAGAGGGATAGAAACATCCATGATGAGAGAATCATTGATTGGCTGCCTCCCGCAAGTCCCCTACTGGGATCTCGAGCCCACAACCTGGGCACGTGCCCTTGACCGGAATCGAACCTGGGACCCTTCAGTTCGCAGACCGACGCTCTATCCACTGAGCCACACCGGCCAGGGCTGGGCAGTGTTTTCTTAAGGTAAAGACTGACCCTTGTAAGGCAGCTATAGGCCTGAGCTGTAGGCCGGGGTCAGGACTACCCACATCACCTGCCCAGTTAGGAGTGTGGGGTCACACCAGCCTGTGTGGTTAGTCACTGAGCTTGGTGGACCTGCCAAACACCCATCGTTTTGGGTGATAACGATGTTCTTTACGATTGTAGTGAATCAACAAGTCCACTCCACACTCGAGGAGGAGGGCATGGAGGCCCACCTCCTGCAGGGAGGTGTCTGGAAGAATCTGTGGGCATCTTTCAAAACCACCCCCCTCCCCTGGCTGATGGCGGGAGGCCTCCGTCAGCTCCTCCCCACGGGCCTCTCCATAGGACGGCTCGGGTGGCCTGATGACATGGCAGCCGGCCTTCCACAGAGCAGTGATCCGAGACGAAACAAGAAAGAATCCGCGGTGTCTCTGATGGTCTGACTTCACCTCTGCACACCCATCTCCGCAGGGTCCTATTGGTCACCCAGGTCAGCTTCATTCCGCGTGGAAGGGACTCAATCAGGGCCCGTACCCCGGGAAGCAGGGGCCCACAGGAAGCAGTGGCTAATTCTGCCAGGGCACGCTGGGGAGGGCTCCCCAAGGAGAGTGACCGGGAGAGGGGCTGTGGGGGTCCCACAGACGCTGAGAGAACTGAGCAGGATCAGCGAGGTCAGAAGACAAAAGGAAAGAAAGACCAGGACGGTGTGGAGGAGCCCGCTCCCCGCCCGCCTCGGACGCTGTTCCTGCCTTCGCGCAGGATCTTTCCCGCAGCGGCGGGTGCCAGGCTCACAACGAGCAATCAGGCCAGGCAGGCGTCCCTAATAGCGGGTATTATGTACTCGGGGAGCCGGAGTGGCTGTTCAACGCCGCTGTTCCGTCTCCCTGTCATTAGGACGTGGGCTTCCTCAGGGGCCGAGCACTGGGGTGTAGCAGCCCCGCCTCCCCTCCATCATTGTAACATTCAGAACATCAAGTCTCCACCGAGAGCCCTTCAAACGTGTACATTTTTAAAAATATATTTTATTGATTTTTTACAGAGAGGAAGGGAGAGGGATAGAGAGTTAGAAACATCGATGAGAGGGAAACATCGATCAGCCGCCTCCTGCACATCTCCTACTGGGGATGTGCCCGCAACCCAGGTACATGCCCTTGACCGGAATGGAACCCGGGACCCTTCAGTCCGCAGAGCGGACGCTCTATCCGCTGAGCCAAACCGGTTAGGGCGAAACGTGTACATTTTTGGTGGGAGGAGAGAGGAAGAGCAGCAGGAAGCCAGCCAACCTGGGTTCATTCCTGGTCAGGGCACATGCCCAGATGGCGGGCTTGATGCCCAGTAGGGGGCGTGCAGGAGGCAGCTGATCCATATTCTCATCATTGATGTTTTTCTCTCTCCCTCTCCCTTTCTCTCTGAAACCAATAACAATATATTTTTAAAAAATAATAATGAAGTAGGGCTGATATAGAAAGTCTGATGTGGAGGTTTTTCCTGCTGTGAAGGCAGAGGCAATGGCCTGCTCCCTCTGACAGGCACAGAGAAGGCCTCCAGCTGGAAGCAGCCGTAAACAACTTGCAAAAGGTGACAGCTGGCACTAGATGGCAGCTGTGACACGCCAGTGCCCTGGCTCACCGGCCATTGCCTGTGCCAGCCTGCCTGGCCCTGCGGTTCAGGTTTCACAGTCCAGCAAAGCCAGCTCTCCTGCCAGGTGCCCACTCCCAAATCAGGGCAGCCCTCTGCCCCCCAATTCCTCCACACGGAACCTGAGGCCCGGGGCCTCCCTGCCCTGCCAGGGCCACGAATGCTCCTGGGTGTACCTCCCTGTCCTGGCCCGTCCCCGGGGTGTCTGTTGCTAGGCACCCTTGCACACCCAAGGGTCTGGGTTCCTGGGGACGAGGCTGCAGAGTCTGAGGCTTAGGAGGAATATCGGTGTGTTGGGGCTGCCCCTCGCCCTTGCTAAATGACCGACTTCCACAATGGCTATTTTTTTATTTTTTTGGTAGAAAAACAAGCAAGAATGTATTGACCACAGCAAAAATATACTTAGGTAATGACACAAGGAAGCCCATATGAGAAGCAACTGGAGAGCCAGGCCGGGCTGCTTTAGCTCACTGGGAAGTCACAGAATAGGGGGCCTTGGAGACGGATTCGGGGGTGAGCCTGGGACAAGCTGCTGCTGCCCATTGCTCCCCTCGTTGCAAGTCTCATAGGGTCCCTTAGAGGTTGGGGATACGTGCCTGGGGGGGGAGAGAATGGCACAGGCTACTCTCTGGAAAGAGAAGGCCCACAATGGCTCTAACTGGTGTCCTCGCTGCCTTTGGATTTAGCAAGTGAGTGACATGAGTTAAAACGCTCACTGGGAAGTCACAGAATAGGGGGCCTTGGAGACAGATTCGGGGGGTGAGCCTGGGTCAAGCTGCTGCTGCCCATTGCTCCCCTTGTTGCAAGTCTCATGGGGTCCCTTAGAGGTTGGGGATACGTGCCTGTGGGGGAAGAGAATGGCACAGGTGTACTCTCTGGAAAGAGAAGGCCCACAATGGCTTTAACTGGTGTCCTCACTGCCTTTGGATTTAGCAAGTGAGCGACATGAGTTAAAAACATTGTCTTAATAAAGGCACTTTTAGTTGTAAGTAACCAAAGCCCTGTGACAATGAGCTTAAGCCAACTAGAAAGATGGGAGAATTGTTCAGTCAATAGCTTTAAGGGCCATAGGTAGTATGTAAATTCAGACACAATTATACCCCTATGGGCTTCAGGCATGGCTGGATCCAGGTGCTGGAGGAAAATCATGAGGCATCTATCTGTCTCCATCCATCTCTTCCCTTCTCTCTTGAGCACAAGCTCCCAAGTGCTGAACGAGATCCACGTCTCTCTTCATAGTCTTGGGAGCCTTTCTTCGAGACTCCCAGACTTGACTTGGGTCCAAATTCATGCCTAGACTAAGGAGTCCTGGGAGATGGCTATCCAATTTGGCTAGACGCAGGCAGAGGTCAGGATGAGAACGAGGGAGGCTTGGCTCCCCGAGAAAAACCACCCGGGTACTGTCACCTGAAGAAGGGACCCAGGACGAGCCAAGTTAGCAGATGCGCCCCCACACACACACACACACACACTCACCTGTGTCCTGCCTGAAGCACACCTAGCGTGACTGCCGGGCGGCCCGGCCTGCAGGGGAGAGGCTGTTCCATGACTCAGCCGCCCCCTGGCCCATGAGCTGGCCCCATGGGGCAGAGGTTGCTTTCTGGAAGTCCTGCTCTCAGGCGGCCTGATCGTGCCTGACATTCACTCAGACATGAATCAGCACCCCTCCCGTGCCTCCTGGACGAGCGGCGTGCTGCTTCCTGGAAAGGGTCGCTGTCCTGACCGGGTCAGGCACGTGAAGGAATTGCCTACACCTGGTGGCACTCACGTACCCGCCCGGTGACGATTCCCCCACCGTTTACCCCATAGACTTCTTTGGCCCCTGCCAAGCGGCCTGGGGATCCATTTCATCTAGCTCTTGCCCAAGACATGCCTGGGAGGTGAGCTTCCCTTAATACACCCTGTTAGTCACCGGCTGGCGTGGCCAGGCTGGGTCTGCGTCTTTCCCGGCGCCCTGCTAGCGGAGGTGCGATGTCAGTCCCGGGCTTAACCCTGGGGCTGCGTGTCCCCACGCTACCAGGTCACAGTGCCGCTCGCCCAGCCGCTGGGCTCCACCACCGCCTCCTAACATCCTCTTCTTCAAAGCCTGCGTCAGTTCAAGATTGCACAGCAAGCCTGGAGGTGTGGCTCAGTGGTTAAGCTTTGACCTAGGAACCAGGAGGTCACAGGTCTATTCCCGGTCAGGGCACATGTCCGGGTTTCGGGCCGCATCCCCAGTGTGGGGCGAGCAGGAAGCAGCCGATCCATGATTCTCTCTCATCATTGATGTTTCTCTCTTCTCCCTTCCTCTCTGAAATCAATAAAGATATATATATTTAAAAAATAAAAAAATTGCATAGTAACATGTGTGATTATTAAACTAGTGCGTATCTTTCTCCCGGTGTCCCACAAGAAGTTTTAAAACATGTGATACCTGACTATTTAGCCAGGGGCACTGACCTCTTTCCCCCTTGGATTGTCAAATTAAAAAATGACAACAAAAAATAAATAAATAAAATGAAATTAAAAATGACAACAGCCAACACAATCATAGCCGTCCGGTGTGAATGAATCAAAATTGCACCTATTGTTGTTGCCAGATCGGCAAAAATGTAATACATTTTTGGAGTGCCGCAGAATTTTAGAAACTCATTTCTGTGCCACGAGATGAAAAAGGTTGAAAATCAGCTGCTCTGGCAGATAATCTTCCAAGAGACAAGATCTGGGTGTCCCTGGAGCCTCGGAGGGTGACTGGTCGGTACATAGTAGGTGCTCAGTAAGCATGTGTCCACTCATCCGTTTGCCACTAATCCCTTAGACTTGGGACGGTAAGTCCAAGCAGATATGGCCCCTGCCTGGCTCCGCCCTGGGGGGGGACAGGCTCCCGCCCTGGGGGGACAGGCTGGGCGGCAACAGTCGCTGGCCAACTGCAATGTTTTCTCCAAGCACAGCTCCGGGAAGCCCGGGGAGAAACAGCTGAGTCACAGGGATCCAGGAAAGCTTCCCTGAGGACATGATGTTGGCCAAAGTTCAAAACGTTGAGAAGACAGAAGCCAGGTGAAGGAGAGGAGAAGGAGGAGGGGGAAGAAGGGGAGGAGGAGGAGGCCCTCACAAACACCGTGAAAAGCAAGGGAATGCAGCACAGCGGGGTGGGGGCCTGATGGCCGAGTCCCTCAGCGTTAACCCCCAGAACAGGGGTCACCATGCAGGAACGGGGGCTTTTGGTTAAGCCAATGCCTTTCTTTAAAAGAAAGAGCCTGGCTGGTGTGGCTCAGTGGAAGAGCGTCGCCTACGGACTGAAGGGTCCCAGGTTTGATTCTGGTCAAGGACGTGTACCTTGGTTGCGGGCACATCCCCAGTGGGGAGTGTGCAGGTAGCAGCTGATCAATGTTTCTCTCTCATTGATGTTTCTAACTTCTATCCCTCTCCCTTCCTCTCTGTTAGAAATCAATAAAATATATATTTTAAAAAAATAAAGAAAGAGCCTGGCTGGTGTTGTAAATCAATAAAATATATATTTAAAAAAAAATAAATAAAGAGCCTGGCTGGTGTTGTCCAGTGGTTGGGCGTGGACCTATGGACCAGGAGGTCAGGGTTCGATTCCCGGTCAGGGCACATGACCGGGCTGTGGGTTCCATCCCCAGAGTGGGGCGTGCAGGAGGCAGCCGATCAGTGATTGATGTTCCTCTCATCATTGATGCTTCTATCTCTCTCTCCCTCTCCTTTCCTCTCTGAAATCAATAAAAATATATGTAAAAAAGAAGAAAAGAAAGAAAGGAAGGAAGGAAGGAAGGGGGGTGGTGTCAAAGGGAGAATGTATGTTTTGGGCAAAGCACTAGTTTAAAAGGCTGGGGACCAGCTGTCAGATTCCATCAGCACCTGGCAGGGCGGCTGCCACACAGTAGCCAGTGATGGCGAACCTTTTGAGCTCGGCGTGTCAGCATTTCGAAAAACCCTAACTTAACTCTGGTGCCGTGTCACATACAGAAATTTTTTGATATTTGCAACCAGAGTAAAACAAAGACTTCTATTTTTGATATTTATTTTATATATTTAAATGCCATTTAACAAAGAAAAATCAATCAAAAGAATGAGTTCGCGTGTCACCTCGGACACGCGTGTCATAGGTCCGCCATCACTGCAGTAGGCCCTCAGTAAATGTGGGAATGCCTGGGGGATCGTCATTGCAATCAACGGGTTTTTCTTTTTTCTTTTATCTGAGGGAGAGAGAGAAGCATCGATGTGTTGTTCCACTTACTTATGCATTCATTGGTTGACTCTTGTCTGTGCCCTGACCGGGGATGGAACCCACAACCTTGTGTACTGGGACATGTGCCTACCAACTGACTTCCCAACTGAGCTACAGGCCGGGGCTCCACAGGTTTTTGTTAAAACAGAGAATGAAGCCAGCCAGGGGGAGGCCCCACTGGGAGCCCACGCAGACTCCCAAAGCCACACAAAAGAACTAAAGGGAGAAGGAAATTACATTAAAACGGGCAGGTTTACGTAACCCTGTCTGTGCAGAATAACATGTGCCGGGCCCCACAGGCCATTGGCTGCAGGCGCTGCCACTCAGAGAGCGGGCGAGGGCCCTTGGATGCCAGGCCGAGAGGGGCCGCGGGAATTCAACACTCAGCTCCTGTTCTCCAGGCTCCGGTGAGTCACCCTGTTTGCGACCTGAGATTTATGAAGACAGCGCTATGCATTAGAAAGAAAGTTCAATCCGGGTCCCCCCCCACCGCCCCTCCCCAGCCCCTGGCTGTGCAGAGCCGCTGTAAATGACTCATCAAGAAATCAGGGTGTGTCACAGGCTGGCGGTGAAGTCCTGGATCAGAGGCTAAAGTTCTAGGACAGAGTCTGTGAATCAGATCTCACTATGGATGGTGGTCCTCCGTGCCACTCAGCAGGGAGGGCCTCACCCCAGAGATCCTCAATGGGAGCCACACCCCCGGCACCAAGATACCTGGGCCTGGGAGCGCCTCTCACTCCACGTGACCAGGGGTGAGCTGATTCTCAGCCGCAGGCAAAGGAGCCCTTCATTTGGCCCGGCTGGTGCGGCTCAGCGGGTGAGCATCACCGATGAACCAGGAGGTCACGGTTCATTCCCCGTCAGGGCACAGGCCCGGGTTGCGGGCTCCATCCCCAGTGTGGGGCGTGCAGGGGGCAGCCCGTCCATGATTCTCTCTCATCGTGGATGTTTCTATCTCTCCCTTTCCCTCTCCCTTCCTCTCTGAAATGAATACAATTATTAGTATTTTTTAAAAGCAGCCCTTTGTTCAATACGCTGACTGTCATCCCTTTCAAGAATGACAGAGACGCACCTAGGCCGTGTCGCACACCAGGCACCGTGTTTTGTGCACATTGAATCAACTTGCTGCCACAACAACCTTATGGGGGTGCTACCATCCCCCATTTTTCAGATGAGGAAGCAAGGCCCGCAGGAGGCCGGATCCTAAAAAGCTAGGAAGAGGCCTTGACAAGTGGAATGGGGAAACGAGGCCCAGGGCTGACAAACTGCAGAGCAATTTACAGCAGACGCAGAAGGTCAGCTTCCTGGAGGTTAACAGCCTATTCCAGGACTCGAGCCCGAAACCCGGGCATGTGGATTGTCTGGTCCAGGGATTGACCCAGCGGCCTCTCGGGACGACGCTCAACCCACTGAACCACACCAGCCAGGGCCCACGCTGGTTAATGTGCAAGAGATTTGAAGCGCTCCCTCAGCAGGGAAGGGGGTCACGAGCCGGACGGTGGCGGGAGTTGGGGCGAAGTCAGCCAGGCGTCGGAAAATGGCCGGGAGAGCGGCTGGCCAGGGAGGACTTTAGCCTTTTCTATGTTAATCTCAGAAAGGAGCACATTTGTAAATTATTCACATAACTAAAAATGAACTTTAAAATAGTGAGGGTTCAATGGCAAGTCGTGCAACTGCATAACCTTAGATGGGGGTGAGCGTTCCTGTTTAGGGAGCCGGGGAGCCCGCAAAGGACAGGTTCCAGGAAACGCCGAGTGGGCGCCTGGCGTGTTTCTGCCTCTCGGTATGGAATTCACAAAGGGGGTCGTTCGGTTCCTGGGACCCACCTTCTCCCACCCCCACCTACCGGAGGCTCAGGTGCGGGGCCTGGGCCCGGCCCTGGGAACAAATGTGACACTTCGCTTCCTGAGCTCTCCTGGCTGTTTCCTCCCTAACAGTCTGGCCAGACACCCAAGGTGATGTTTTTATTGGTTTTGACCTGTGGTTCTCAACCTTCTGGCCCTTTAAATACAGTTCCTCATGTTGTGACCCAACCATAAAATTATTTTCGTTGCTACTTCATAACTGTAATGTTGCTACTGTTATGAATCGTAATGTAAATATCTGATATGCAGGATGGTCTTAGGCGACCCCTGTGAAAGGGTTGTTCGACCACCAAAGGGGTCACGACCCACAGGTTGAGAACCGCAGGTTTTAGACAGAGAGGAAGTGGGGGGAGAGAGAAACATGGATGTGAGAGAGAAGCATCAATTGGTTGCCTCCCGTATGCACCCTGACAGGGATTGAACCCACAAACTGGGTGTGAGCCCACACCAGGAATCGAACCCGTCACCGTTTGGTGTATGGAGGACAACGCTCCAACCACTGAGCAACCCGGCCATGGCAAGACCAAAATTCTTACCTTCAGGACCCCAACCTGCCTGTCCCAACACCACTCACCTCTGACCTGACCCTCCCTCTCTGTCTGCCCCGCAGGCACCCTACCGCCTTCCCTGAGCTCCTGAGACCCCAGGCCTTCGGTGCTCCCTGGCCTGGGGTGCTGTCCGCCTCACCACTGAGCGAGATGGAGCATGAGGTGCAAGCTGGACCCTAGGGGACCAGTCCCGTGGGAGGAGGTGGGAGGAGGTGGGAGGAAGCAGGATGGGGCAGGGGCAGAACCTGAGGCGGGCCAGCCCGAGCCCGGCCAGGCTTCTGGGAAGCCTTGGGGCAAAGGCTGTGCTAACAGGTCCTGAGTCTTTTCTTTTTAAAGCCGGGGCTTTATTTTATTTACTTCTTTTCTAATCCTCGCCCGAGGATATTTTTCCATTGATTTTTAGAGAGCGTGGAGGGGACGAGACAGAGAGAGAGAAACACATCAACTGGTAGCAGTAGAGCTATGTGCCCTTGACGGGAATCGAACCTGAGACTCTTGAGTCCATAGGCTGATGCTCTAGCCACTGAGCGAACTGACTAGGCCAAGTCCCAAGTCTCGCTCAGCACTGAGCAGACTTCTCCAGCTCGGGCATGATGGCGACCTCAGGCAGGGTGGCCCCGTGCAGGGGAGGTGGCCCCGTGCAGGGGAGGTGGCCCCGTGCAGGGGAGGTGGCCCCGTGCAGGGGAGGTGGCACTGGCCGGCGGAGGCCGAATGCCCACTGCACCACCCTGGATAGAGACAAGCTCTCCCCTGACTGGGGAGGGCACAGGCCCTGACTGTGCTGCTGCCCACATCCCCTGCCAGGCCCCAGGGCAGCCTCACCGCTGACACTTCCTAAGGGAAACCTTTGCTCAGACTCTGGGCTCTGAGCTGCCATAAAACTCGCCTCCTCTCCTCCCAGCAGTTATCACAGGAATGACCGGTCATGGGTGCGATTATCTACTTGATACCTGTTGGCCCTAAGAAACTGTACCCTCTGTGCAGGGAGGGGCCGTCTTCCTGACTCACCTCAGCCCCTAAACAGCCCGGTGACAGTGTGTTCCGGAGCGGAGCGCAGTCCTGCGGACACCGGACTCTCCGAGCTGCAGGAGCCCCGGGAGCTGGCTGTGTGTCTGAGGCTCATTCCATTCCCAGGGAGGAAACTCAGGATCCTTCCGATCGGGTGTCATCTTTCCTATTGAGGAGCGTGGCGCAGTGGTTGAGCGTTGGCCTCTGAACCAGGAGGTCACAGTTTGATTCAAGTCAGGGCACAAGCCCGGGGTTGCAGGCTCAATCCCTGGGGTGAGGCGTGCAGGAGGCAGCCGATCCATGATTCTATCATTGATGTCTCTCTCTTTCTCACTCTCTCTCTCTCCCTCCCTTCCTCTCTAACATCAATAAAGATATATTTAAAAATATATGTATATATTTAGGAGCCTCCTCCTGCCCCACTCCTACCTGCTCTGGAGGGCAAAAACAGGACAAAGATCACACTATTGCCCCATCCATCCCCACAGCTACCAATCCCAAGCATTTAAGGGCTCAGTGCATGGCAACAGGCAACCCAAATGTCCACCCCAGGGAGCCTGGTCCCTGTGTGTAGGGGCTGCAGCCCTGGGCCAGGAATCACGGTCCGTGCTCTACACTTAACGGTGCCACCTGAACAAGTCGCTCACCCTCTTAGAGCCTCGCCTGTAAGATGGGGACAGTGCCTGCCTTTTCTTCCTCACTGAGGTCTGCCAGGTTCACATGCAGGGAGAGGCCAGACCGTGCTTTGCCGATTGGCAGATGTGGCTCACAAGAAGGCAAGGGAGGGCTCTTCTCCTGCACCCATGACCGGTGGGCGAAGGACATTATGGGGACACGAGCTTGTTTCCTACAGAGATGACGTGGGAGCCGCTGTCACGGGCTGTGTGCTGCACGTTGGTGAACACAGTTGTGCAAATGAATGTGTACTCCCCCACCTAAGCCTGCCCCGCCTCCCGGCTCCCTTGTCCCTTCTGCTGGGGGCAGAGCAGCAGGAAGTGCACTGACCCTCGGGCGAGCAGTGAGGGCCTGCGCTTTGGTCATTTGCAGGCCAAGGTTACGTGTGTTTTGGAGGTGGAGGTGGCGGGGAGCGGCTGGATGTGCGTCTCCCTAAGTGGGCAGAGCGGGTGAGAACATGAGGTGGATGGCTGTGGAGTTCTTAGAAAAGCTAAGCTCCCCCAGTCACCTGGAGGCTGGCCTTTGAGACGAGGCTGGGCAGGAGCTGGTGTAGGCACAGAATTTCCAGAGGGGAAAGGGCCTGAAGGTCACTTGTGCAATCTACTTGCGGGTAGAGAAGCTGAGGCTCCGACAGCTAAGCGAGTTCTCCCACATCCTCGCTGGGGAGTGGGTTTCTCAGACCCGGTGTCTCCGGCTCTGCACGGATCCGGGTGAGCCAGGGAGCCTTTACCTGGGGGGCCTTTGCCAAAAACAACAGCCACCCCCAGGCCCGCGTGGCTCTGTGGTTGAGTATCGACCTATGAACCGGGAGGTCACGGTTTGATTCCCGGTCAGAGCACATGCCGGGTTGTGGGCTCGCTCAGATCCCCAGTGTGGAGCGTGCAGGAGGCAGCCAATCAATGGATCAATGATCCTCATCACTGATGTTTCTATCCCTCTCTCACTCTCTGAAATCAATGTAAAAATAATCCACCCTGTGTTAAGCATTCATTCTGCAGCCAACATTTAGAGTGAGTGGCTACTACGGGCTGGAAACCCTTAGAGGGGCGGTCATACCAGGAAACGCGCTGCCCAGCCATTCTGGAGCTTCCTGGAGGAGGACCGTAAACCAGCAAAAAGTATCTGAGCAAGATCATGTCCGATGCTTGGAAGGAGATAAAAAGGGGTCATGGAGGCGGGGGAGAGCTCCGACGGAGGGGCCAGAAGCCCGACCACGTGCTATGCCAGGTGCCGGTCCGCCCATCCTCCCACCCACCCTTACAGGCTGTGGGCACATCTCCGTTTTGCCCACAAGGAACCCCACGTTCAGAAGGGGTAAGAGTGGCAGGCAGTCCAGTCCCGAACTCCTACCCACCACTTCCCACCAGCCGCTGCCACCTGGATGATGAAACCCCGGTGCAGGGCTGCACCACTTTCAGCGGGCGTCCTTGCAGGGGTCGGGGGTTTGGGGGAGAGGCGCCTCCAGGGAGAATCTGCAAACAGCTTTACATTCACAGAAGTTTGAGACGCGCCGAGCCCCTGCTAGGCCCCCGCGGGGGCCGAGCCAGACCCCGACTCCCGCCCGCTCAGCCCGGGATTGAGCCAGACTCCAGCGCCCGCCTCCGTCCCGCCCTCATCAGACAGACCAGCGCGGTGCACTATGGGACTTGTAGTTCAGCCAGCCCTCTCCTCG